TTAGAGTCTAGAGATACAATTATTGTCCAGTTGAAAAATTTATTTGCAATTTTTGCATTCGCCATTTCAACAGAATTTTTATTTTTTTGTTCTCTTTTATTATAAAAGAAAAACGAAAAAATTTTAACGCATCTCTTTTACTCCCTTATATACAGGAAAGAAAAGTTCATCATATTTGGTCTCGGTATAATTTTGTGCAATGGAATGCAAAAAAAAAACTATTTATATTAAAAGAGAATATCAAAATTTTCTGAAACATTAAAAATTTCGGTTGATCTGGTGAACTTTCGGTCATTTATAGTTTACATACAGTATAAAAAGTTCTCTCAATATAGTTCAATTATTCAAGTGAAATATTCAAGTGCATTTCTCATTTTTTCTCTGTGTAGTAAATTTTAAAATAGTTTGAAACTTTTTAATTGCATATGGCAAAAATATTTAAATATTTTTTATATATTGCAGAAATTAATTGAAATTTTTTTTTTATTTTGTATATTATTGGAAAAAAATTGTAAACTTTATGAGAACAAATTTTATACACACACACATTGTGTATTATGTATGACTTATAGTGTCAAATGGAGTTATGAGAGTACGTTGACTTTAGCAAGAATTTTTACATATTTTCGAAGTTTAAAATGTCTAAAAATTCTTTACTTTATAATTAGTTATTTAAAAAATAATATTGAAAAAAGAAATAAATTGATTCATGAGTGGTCAGAATCTTGCATTTCTTCTAGATTAACTCTGACACAGACAGTAGAAAATTTTACGTTCAAGTGCATATATAGAAAATTTGTCAAGCAATGGCTTTACTAAGAGAAATTAATGAGAAAGTAATTATTACAAAATTAAAATAAATGTGGCATTGAACTTAATGAAATTTTACTTTGCTCTCTCAATATTATTAATTAATCAATTTGAGTAAGATGAAAGCAAACGATATGTCTGTCCTTCTCATTTAAAATTTATTTGCTGCTGAGAGAATAAAGATTAATAATTGTGATTAACATGTTATTTTATATTTACGAAAAAAATTCATCAAAAATATAAGCTCTCAGTATTCTCGCTCTAAATATTGTTGTCAACAATGTTATAGTCAAAGCTGCATTTTTTAATATTTAAATTAGAATTTAAAAGTCACGGCGAATAATGACATAAGCTTTACAAATTAAAATTAAACTAAAATGATTTGCTTTTTATAAAACTGTTATACAAATAACTGTTATATATACCTATACTGTTATACAGCCAATAAAAACTGTTATAAATTAAAAAAAAAGTAACTTTAATTTAGAAACGAGGTCAGGTTCTTATTCTCTTTTTTTTTTTTGCTGGTTGCACACGTTTTCACAATAATTTAAGAATTTAAATGAAATTATTATTTAAAATTTTTTTTTTATTTTCAATGTCGTTTAAAATGATAACAATGAAAAGAAAAAAAAATTCTTTAAATTAATAACGCTCGTGAAACTTACAAAATACCAACCAAAAAAAAAAAGCAAGAAAGACATCACAAATTAATGGGGTTATTTTTGCCCTTCGAAAAATCTCTTTATTCATTTTCCGCAATTTTTCATCTTATCTGCACGTTTTTAATTCTTGTGTGTTCTTTTTTTTTTTCAAATAAGTCAAATACAAATTGAATTTTATCAATGGTCTTTTCTTTTACACTTAGAAAAATTTATTATAAAATCTTATGTAAAAAATTTAATTTAAATGTAGAGAAAAATTAATTTAAAATTCCATTTGTAATACATTTTGTAATTTTAGAAAGGTATGCAAAAATATTCATGAATAGATTTCGAGTAATAAAATCATAGATGAGTAGTTATTCACTCATTTACCCGTTAAATCATTTATGTCAATTTCAATGATCAAATAACAAATTAAATTATCACTGACAACATTGCAATATTTTGATGTATGACAACTAAGTAATACATCATGAGTAAGGTGTCAAATATAAAAAAACAGAGGGAAAAAATTTCCAATTAATTCTCACAGGGCATTGCATACAATAAAAATTACTCACATATTAAAATATTTGAAAAAGGAATGTATTTTTTAATGAGAGAAGCAAATTGTCTAATAATGACATTTATTCTCTTTCATTATTATTTTTGCTCTTCATTTTGCGGAGTCTCCGGTTGAGTCTTGAACTGTACACACTAATTGTTATTTATCACTGTTGTTGACATTAGATTCACTTATTATGAAGGTGATTTGTAGTATGTGTGAGTGGAATTTTCAATTTGTTGACATGAAATCTACATTGAAATCAATTTGTTATACAAACAATTTGCATTATGCGCATTATATGCAGTACAAATTGTATTAAATTTAATTTACGAGAGCATTGAAGAGTTTACAATAAGCACAAGAATGCATTATTGATTAATTTAGTTGTCTTAGCAATTGATATCCTTAAGGTTATCCGGTTAATTTTTACAATATTTTTTCTCTTTACATTTTTATTTTTTTTTTATGTATATATTTAACTGTTATCATTTAAATCGTGTCATGTCCTTTTTTCATTACTCATTTCATTACATTTTTCCTTCATTCTTTTTTTTTTCTGTTGCTTCTTTTTCAAGTTTATTTTACTTCAAAAGGAAGTGAAACTAAAAATGAAAAAAAAAAATCGAATAAAAAAAAAACCGGAAATAAAATGGTTATTTCTTTGTTAGCTAAGCAAGAAATAACCTTTTTCTTTCCTCCATGTTCTCTTTTTTTCCGTTTTCTTTGGTGTTTTTTTTTTTGTCTTTTATTTTATCTTGATAGATTCATGAATTTGTTGCACCATCAGCCATCAGTGACTTTTAATTTTCTGTATATATATATATATATATTTAAATATATATATAAAAATATATATATAGAAAAAAAAGATGATAGTTGAGAAGTGTCATTTTGCAAATTAAAAAGGACGAACACAAAATGATTGGTACACAAGCAACTAAACTGAAAGAACGTAGAAAAAAAAAATGAGTGAAAAAAAAATTGAAGAGAATGAAGGCGGAAATAATTAAGATATGTCCAAAATTAAATTAGAACAGAAAAAAAAAACTGAGAAGTTGAATAGAATATTTTCATATATAAATGAGAGAGATAGAGAGAGCGTCAAATATCCTAAATAGGTAACAAGATAGCAAAGAAAAAGTAAGAGAGAAAAATGGGGGGGAAAAAAACACAAGGGAAAAATTAAAAGAAAAGATAAAGAAATTTTGCTTTTAATTAGTTTTAAATATATATTTTATATTTGTATGTTTGTACGAAGAGCATACTCAAAAATTATTATAATAATTATTTTAGAAAAAGAGTATAAAAATACATAGAAGAGCAACAAATTCTGATATTGTTCAGAAAAATGAACAATTTTTATACTGTTATACTGTTAAAATTTTTAATACACATGATTGGTTGGTTGGTTGGTGACATTTTGCCTATATAACCTCTTGATTAGCAGGACGTCATTAAACGTACGATTACGCTGGTCGGTTTTTTAAGCCATTCTATTCCTTTAAAGAATTTATCGAAATTCCCGATACAACAATTTTCAATTTCTCGTTCAGTCTCGTCAAGCTTAATCTAGACAGGTATTTTCAATTGCCGGCGGCGGACGGTATATAATGTCCGATATAATGTGTAAGATAATGTAATTTTAAAATTTATTTACAATTTCTTATAAAAATACAAACATTGCAGTACACCTACAAATTCAATATAATTAAGAATATTTATATAAAAAATTTTGATAGTGTTGCCTTGTTCAAAAAATTTGAAAAAATATACTACAACTGGAATAATAGTTCAATTTTGGCAGTTAAGATTAAATCCTGTAATTTCTATTAATTTCCAATAAAAATTCCAGATTCAATATTGAATATTTAATTATATGTGACGAAGAATATTCAATATAAATTGTAGGGAACAAATCTACTGGCCCAAAAAATATTGCAAAATAATGAAAAAATAATTTGAAAATTCTAGAAAACTATTAAAATATTCAAAATACAAAAAAAATTTTTTTAAATTTATTTCTAGTGTTATAAAATAAATAAAATGAAAAATTTATTTTGACATTAAAACTCCATTAAATTTTTTTGTTAATTTTCAAATGAATTGCGAGTTTTTCTAAAATCAATCAGTGGAATTTATTCCGGATATTGTCATTGCTTTTCAATATAAAATTTGAATAATTCATGTTCATTTACAATACTACCGCACCTCTTTAAAATTCTAATTTTTTTTTATTTCAAAGTTCAAATTTTGATTTTAAAATTATAGTTTTAATATTGAGTAGCACTTATTGAGTTGAAATAATTTTTTTTTTTTAATATTTAAATTTATATTGCATTTTAAATTGTGTAAAATCAAAATGGACTTAATTACCTGTAAAATTCTATAAGCATTTAAATATGTTTTTTAAGGACATGCAATTTTTAATTTATTTTTTTTATTTAAAATAATTTTCAAATATAGTTTGTAACAGCAATCAATATGTCAATAGTTATTCTATTGGCATAACAATGATATGTCAATTAAAATTTGGCGTTTGATTTAAGTACCATGAACAATAGAATTTTATATTATTTTCAAAGGTAGTGAGTGTCATTTAGTTCTGGAGTTCATTTTTAATATTTAAATAATATTAAATATGAGCAGTAAATATTTAATGCCAGAATTAAAGTGTCATACCCGAGTAGCCTTAACATTAGCTTTGAACTGTGGGTATAGTGTAAAATTTTCTTTTAGAATAATAGTTTAGCCCTCTTGAGCGTATAAGTTTTAGTTATGAAATTTATAACTCTATTGAAGAAGTTTAAGTTTAAACTGATCTCCGCAGTTAAGGGTTAACATAACAATTTATTGTATTCAATTACAGCCCGAATAAACAATCTTAACCTTAAATTATTTGAAATCAATTTTAATCCGAAATATTTTTTTAATAATTTAAATCATTCATTATAAAACAATAAAAAAAAAAAACAACTCACCTGATAAAAACTATAATTATTTGCAATTAAATCACCATGTGCTTTTGTATGCTGATACCATGAATATGCTCTTTTAGCTGGTGATATTAAAATTGTAACAATTTTAGCATGCGGTAATAATGCATGTGAACGTCTTGGTACTAAATCACCATCAAAATATGTTGCTGATTTTTCAAACATATATTTTGTTGTTGTATTTGATGTTGTTGGAAAAAATGTCATATACCAATCTAAGCCACGATAATAATTATTACCATTAAAAAATTGTATTTCTTCAAATGTATCTGGACTTGGTATATTACTAGCTATACTTGGGTGCATACTTAAAAATGTATATAGTGCTGTTGTACCAGTCTTTTGTGGTCCAATGACTAGAAATTTTGGCAATGAATCACAATCTTTTTGTTTTGACCAGATTTTTAAATGTCTTGGATCTTCACATGGATTACCCCATACTGGATCACTTTCTTCTGGATGTAAACGAAAATATGTTTCACCTAATTGTAATGGCGGTGCTGAACTTAATTTTAAATTTGTCCAACAACGTAAAAATTTTATAACCGATTCAAATGTATATAATGCTAAACGATCTGAACCATAATTTGACATATGTGTCATAAATATATTTATTGGATTATATACAATTGTTTGAAATAATTCACCACCTTGTATTGATTCATCTAATTTATCACGTCCGCCCGGATAACGATCAATATACATTGTATGTGTAAATAGACCGCATGTTTGACGTGGCAATACCATTATATTACGATGTATAAAACCTCGACGTAAACGTGCCGGTCTTAAATGTGGATATTCTTCAGTTGATGTTACTTTTATATTCCATACTTTTTTCCATGCTGTATATAATAGTTCATGAGCTGGATATACACCAGAATGATGTGGTGATACAGAATAACTTGAATCAGTTGGTATACCATGATCTTTTGCAAAACCATAATTTTGTAACATTTCATTCATTAGAATTGTTAAATTTTCATATAGGTGAGGTTGTTGATGATTCCACATATGTGAGAACCAATTAAATTCACCAATATTTCGTAATAGTAAATCGTCACCTGCACATGAAATTAATTAAAAAAAAAATTATTATTAAAATTTAATAAAATATAAAAATTTCTTACCTAAATTCTCTTCATGTGTCCCATGATGATAATATTTACCAGAAAAACCTAAATTAAATCTAAAACCTGGTACCATTTCAGCAATTCTTTTTTGTGTTGCTATTAATGCTAATACATCATCAGGTCTTAATCTTGTACCTTTTTCACCAACAAATATATCATCGATATCAACTAATATCATACGATTTAAACTTAAACTTAATTGTCCATGACTTAGATATGATAATGCATCCAAAAATAATAAACGATGTAACCAAAATCTAAGACTGCTACCAAAAAATATTCTTTGTATACCATCAAATTGTCCATGATCTTGTAATACAGTTGCTAATGGTGGTTGTACTTGTCCAATACCATCAGTTAGATATTCTTGTGTATTACGTTGTGCCCATTCAATTGGTTCATATGTTGAATGATTATGTTGAAATATTGCCCAATCATCACCAGGTAATAGACCCCATGCTGTATCACCAGCTCTTGTTAAACGTAATACAGATGATGCTGGATTTAAACTAGCATCACGTAATCTTAAATTTGTATGTATATAAACTGGAAAACCACGTAATTGTGCTGCAACTAAAGTTTCTTCACTAGGACTTACAAAACCAACAATACCAACTGAATATTCACGACAATATTTATCTAATAATTCACGATTCCATTTATCCATATGTAAATATTTATCTAAATTTTCAAATACAATAACACCATAACGTCCTTTATCTAAATTTGTAAGTACTGGTAGACTTTTACCGGCTACTTCTATTTTGTACCTAGAAAATAAAAAAAATTCAAATTTAATTATTAAATTAAATACTAGGTGTGTATGAAAAAAAAAAATTATTATTTAGAGGTTATTAACATTATAATTAATTATTCAAAGCAAACTTGACCTTATAATTTACAAAAGTCCTTATAGACTTAAGAAATCACATTTTCAACCTCCTTCTTCCATATGACAAATGAGTTAATGAATTTAATATATTAAGGAACACAAAAATTTGTTTTTGTTGTACAATATTATATACGTGATATATTTGGCTCACGTTTCACATTTTGAATTTTTCACCATGAGAATTATATAAGGTTCACAATTAAGTTGGTGTTTATAAAAATTATCATTTTGTGTACATATTATAAATCAAGAAAACAAACACCTACTTTTAATGATCAAATGTGATTGTAACACTATACTATTATTATTATGACGTGAGGAGGAGGTGTTATTCTAACAAATGTGTTATGAAAAAGCCTTTTGCACGACTTAAACTCAAATCACATTAATTTTTTTTAATTTCCCTCTTCTTTCTATATTTTTTTTTATTTAATTATTTAGTTATTCAATTAAATCAAATAAAATTCTTTTAGAGCTCTGCAGAAAGAATAATGACTGTGGCTTTTCAAAATGGTGATTTTAAGAAAAAACAATTTAAAAGGAAGAGAGAAAATGTGCCAAAGGAGAGCTAAAAATACCAAATATGTGAAATACAGTAAACAATTTAAAATTATTTATGTAAACAATTTTTGGTGTTTAATGGATTTTACGATAAATAAATTTGAAATTAGAAATATTGAGATATCGTATAAAATTTTAATAGGAAAACCTTAATGAATGTTAAAAATTCAAAATAATTTTATTTTAGTAAACTAATCTCCATATATTTTTGCAAAAATTAAAATAAAGCCATTTAAAGGAAACTAATGAAGGAGACCAGTGGCTGCAAAATATTACTCTCAACTAGTGCTCTATATCTATAATGTACCTATTTTTAAAATTCTCATATTGTATTGATAAATTAATAGGTTAGGCACAAAGAACATTTTTTCACAAGAAATCAAATTCTACAAATTCCCCTAAAATTATGCAATTATTTTGTGAACGTAATATTAATTCAAATAAAATTTCTTTTAAAGGTTTAAAGAAAGAATAATGACTGCGTTGTTATTCAAAATGGTAATTTTGATTAAATCACCATAGCTATTTTTTAATTCCTTATTTTTTATTTTTTATTAAAATTTTATAACCACTGCAATTTTGTTGCGGTAAATTCTTATTTACAAAAATAAAAAAAAAATAAAATTTTCCTCAATATTCTCTATAGTAATCCTTTAAATTTTCAGATAATAATAATTTCTATATATTTACATACATACATAAGTATAACAGCTTACAAAACCTATATATAACAAAAAAAAATCAAAAAGTATATAACAAAAATTATTATATACCAAATATGAATAATAGCAATAGAAAAAGGAAATTAACAACGGAAAATTGGTATTATGATTATTTTTTTTTTTTCATTTTTCTTATTATTTTCGTATATGTTTGCAATAATATTGAAAATATTGAAAAAACAAAAACAAAATTGCAACCAAACAACCAAAAAAACCAAAATATAATAACATTGCAGAAAACCGCTACCACATGTACCAATATTACCGCATTGATATTGCATTTTATAACAATAACAACAATAATAAAAATTATAATAATACAAAAAAGCCCTGTTTTTTTTTTTTAACAATGAATCAAGAAACCAGAAATCACGAAAATTCTTTTCTCTCGCTCTCGCTCTCTTTTTGTATTATAATAAAAACAATTTTAAAATTATTATATTGTTATTTTTGTGTGCTTGTTATACAATGCGTTCATATATTTAATCATATTGTGTATTGTATTTGGTTTTGTATACATACAGTAGAAATCGGTTATAATATTCACTCAAGGGACCAGAAAAAATTACCGTTATAGCCGATTATCGTCATAAACCGTTATACATATAAAAAATATGTGTTACTTTTCAATTTTAATCATTGTTTTATTTACTCTTCAATTTCAAAATCAAGATGAGAATTAAAACTAAATGAAAATGACATTTATTTTACGTCAAAAACTGTTTTTGCTAGGTATGTACATAACAAACTAGATGTCGCTTAAGTTGAGTTATTAATTATAACCAATTTTATTACTATGTAAACAGAAACGTCGCTGAATAATAAAAGCATTCGTTATAACCAGTTTTTCGTTATAAATGAAATACGATATAGCCGATTTTTACTGTATATCGTAAATATTCTATTATTATGGCAATATAATCAATTTTGTTATTGTTTAAATGGTGAAAAATATAATATTAATGATGATGATTTTTCACGTTATGGTAGAAATGTTTGTGTGTTTATTTTATATTTTTATTGAAACAAAAAAAAAATATATGAAAAAATCTTTTTTTTTTATAGAAAATTTTATACCTTCATTGTTATTTTATTAATTTTTATTATATTGACCACTATAGAGCATCACCATAAGCATAAAAGGCACGTGCAGCAAATATGGATTTAAAAACAAAAGAAAGGAGATTTCTTTTATGGATTGGTGCGAGGGAAATGGGAAAAAATTTTCAATTATTTTCAATGAAAGTTTTTTTTTTTTTGAAATGTGAAAAAATTTTTTTATTATGAAAAATTTTTGTGTATTGTTGATTGTTTTCAAATGAAAATTTTTGTAATGAGAAAGTTTTAATGAAATTTAAAAGGTATGGAATAGAAATATTGTTTTGCATATTATATTGAAAATTATTATGAATTAAATTATATGAATTAATACTTTTAAATTGTATAATTGTAAACACAACATTGTGGTCTTAGAATGTACAACAATTCAAGTTCTTATTAAGAAATATTTTTAATAGCTATTTAAATCTCACAAAAAAATGTGCCCAAAATTCATTAATTTTGTACTAATATAAATGAAATTTAATTGGATCCTACCGTATATATCATGTAAATAAGAGAATCAATCACAAATTTTCAAAGGGAAAAAAATCCCTGCAATATTAATAATTAGCCTGTATAATTTTATTTTACTTAAATGAACATCATTTTACTTGAATTCAATTTAAGAAAAATAATTGATAATAATCTGTATACGCGGGATTTAAAAAAATTTTCCTCGCAGCTTACATAATTATTTTATTAATATTAAAAATTGGAGAAAATAAAGGACATATATAATTTTAATACCATTAACATATCCTTATAATTTAATGAGTTTTCTTAATATTCTTAATAATTTTTGAATATTATGAATATAAAAAATATTATACTTCTGTTTTTAATTAAAATTTATTAAAATAATTTCGCTTTACTTTTAAAAAACAAAAAAAATATATTTTGATTGCTGCCTGCCATAATCGAGGATATTGTTATGGGGAAATTTTTATAGTAAATCGCCATTATATACACATTAATATTATTATTATGAATATAATGCATTTAAATTTTCCATATAATATGTAACAAGAATTTTCAAGGATATAAACTGAATCCAATCTTTCCATCTATATTATTTGTGTGCTGACTATTTTGTTCTTTATTTTTTGTTCTTCCTTTTCCTATTTTTTTTTTGTTTTGCATTTCGGGGCTCCTTAACATGAAATTGAATATATTTCCTGTTTTATTTTTACTTCTTATTTTTTTTTTCTTTTATCATCTCAAATACAAAGAATATTGTATATAGTTTTTCCGCCTGACATGGCATATAATGGTATGCAATAGCTCGTATTATGTCCAAAATATTATTTAACACAAAAAAAGAAATATATGTGGAGCTAACAATATAAAGATAATCTTTGAATATGAAATTTGGATACATATATCGGGGCATATATGTGTACACGTATGTTGTGATATAAAATATCAGAATTCAAAAAATTCTTTAACATTTTTTTTTCTTCGTGTCCTTGTTTTCCTTTTTTTTTCAATAATATTGTTAAATACAATGAAAGATAAATTGCAGGAAAAAATTCAGGCCAAAAATATAAAATGCAATATTTGAAAGAAGACAAAAAAAAAAGAGCATAATTTTAAAAAGCACATTTTCAATGAAATTGGGAAAAAAAATTTACATTCAAAAAAGTTATATACTCTTCGTTTGTCAGTCCTTTGGTGCGGCCATTTACAAAATTATGGTGTCCTATTAAAATAGAAAATAGAAATTTTAAATACAAAAGAGTTCTGCTGACAAGTCTATTTTTTGTAGAAGAATATTTGAACCCCCTCCGTTCCCGCTCCCTACCATTCCTTCACTGGAAATCTTACCAGAAAAATTAGAATAAAATTCAATTTTTCAGATTATATTTCAAAATTTATAGTATAATTCAATTTTGTTGTAATCCTAAAGTTATGCAATTTTGTTATCATCCTAAATGTATGCAATATTAAATATGCATTAATATGATGTCAAAATGAGAACGACGAACATACGTAGAACACAGTTTCTTTTTTTGAAAAATCTATTTTCTCTTGCAAGGAAATTGGCTACTATAAAAACCTTTTAATTTGTTTCGAATTTTTATTTAATTTTTAAATTATGATTATTATGATGATAATATGTATGGTGTGAAATTATTTGCACACGAAATACAAATACAATAAATATAATTTATAACAAAAAAATTTAAGTTGAATAAATGTGAGGTAATAAAATATTAAAAGCATATTTTTATCATAAGAAGTAAATTGTTAAAAAGAAATAATAATTTTTTGCAAAAAAAAAAATGCGGTGGATAAAAATTGTAAAATTCGAAATTTACACCACTTACATTTAAAAAATATTATTATTTTTCCATATATTCCGGTATTTTTTTATATTTTATTAATTTTATATTTTGCATTTTTATTCAAGGACATTTTATTATTTTAATTTTAAAAATATAAAAAAATTTTTGCCCTACTTAATATTTTATTTTTGGGGGAAAATTTAAAAGTA